GTTCAGTGCACAGGAAGTTGCATGGACATCTGAATTTCTGGCAGGGTCAGCAGGGATTTTTTTCTGTTCTTTTTGAACATATACTCAGAGAACTAATGCATTTGCCACATCTAAGAACTGGTAAGCTGTAATATGTTAATATTTTGTTCTTGGGTTTAGATATACTTTAACTGCTCCCCGATACACATTCAGGGTACTATAGTGTATCACAATTTACAGATGCAAATACTCCATGCATTGCATTGCACTGTGTTGTAACAAAAATAGTGTGGGGTCCTATATTTGTGCATACCGGTATATGGATATCCCATTCACAATATATGGGCTGTCTGAGGCAACCCGTCTCAGTGCACAAAAACACATGCAAATTATGGTGTGAGCCTGGAAGGAAAGTTTCCAGAATTGTCTCATGTATACTCAACACCACTCTACATACAATACATAGATCTGCTGATTATATTCTGCATTTCTCCTGTCTCCCATTAGTATAATGCTCTAGAATCAGGTCTTTTTTTGCATACGCTGTATAGTAAATTTGCACTGACATGGACAACAGACTATAGAACAAATGACGAATTAGCCAGTGAGATGAAAAATGCCCAGATGTCAGTGGAAGGCATTGCAAGTGCAGGAACCCTTCAACAGCTTAGCCAGGAGCTGCCCATTAACTCCAGTGGTGAATAGCTTGGTCTAGTGGCACCTCATTCCCTTCTATGATGAAACATGTCCCTGAGCCAAGAGACTCTATACAAATACTGTTACAATCCCAAAGTATCCCGTATAGTTGGGGTGCATTATTATTATAGTGCAGGAACCTCGCACAGCTTAGCTAGGAGCTGCCCATTAACTCCAGTGGTGAACAGCTTGGTCTAGTGGCACCTAAGTACCCAGGACAGTTGGTTTGCATTATTTCTATTACCGGTATTTATATAGCGCCAACAATTTACACAGATGCACATTCACACCAGTCCCTTCCTCTTAAGGAGCTTGCAATCTAAGGTCCCTATCTTGCATTTAAACATACAAGGGCCAATTTAGACAGGAGCCAATTAACCCTTTAGCATGTCTTTGGCGTGTGGGAGGAAACCAGAGTACCCAGAGGAAACCCACACAAGCACAGGGAGAACATGCAAACTCCTTGCAGATAGCGTCCTGATCAGGATTTGAACTGTCCCCAGTGCTGCAAGCAGAAGTGCTATCCATTACGTCACTGTGCCGTCACGGTGCATGGTCTTTAAGTCGGCTTACAAAACATCTACTCACAGAGGCAAACCTTAGTATTCCTAAATGCACAGAATATTACTAGATATTGAGTTCTTATAAGTATATTAAGCTTCAGAGAATATCAGATAATATTTGATTGCCTAATAGGATCAGGAAGGAATTTATTTCCCCTGTTGGAGCAAATTGAACCATGCTTTATAGAGGGGGGTTGCCTTCTGCTGGATCAACAGTAGGTAACTGTGGGCATACCGTTCTCTTTAAGGTTTTTTTTCTTTTCTTTTTCCCTGATCTCTATAGGTTGATTTCTGAGGATTTGTGTCTTTTTCAGCCTGACTAACTATGTAACTGTGTCATTTCAGTTTTCAGTATGAGTATGTCATGTTAATTTAAAAGTATGTCAGGTAAATTAGTTGAAAGAAATTGAAGATATACTGTATAATGTATACAGTATATCTTTGGACTGGCTGTTGAGCAGTATGGCATGTTACTTTAAAAGTATGTCAGGTAAATTAGCTGAAATAATGGAAGATATATACTGTATATACTGTATCTTCAGGCTGGCTGTAGAAGTAAAGTGAGAAATTAATGCCAAAATCTTGTGGCACTTGGATCTGTGCTAAAAATAAGGCACACTTTATTAGATAAATCCTCACACCCAGGTACAGTCCTACAATCTAGGAATAACATCCTAGCTTCCAGTAAGAATTACCAGTGAGAAAAAACGCAGTAAACGGTATTATGCAGGAAGAATGAGGAAGAAGTGAACCCCCATAGGATTCTGCCTCTGAGGGGTACAATAATAGGCAGTGTAATAATTGTATCATACGCACATAACCTACGTGCTGCTTGTAGAGGCTTTCTCTCCTTAGGCTGGATTCCCATCTGCAAGCACTTCGCATAAAAACAGATACTGTAGCAGTTAAATCATACATTTGCCAGGAGTCTAAGAGCCTACAGGTAATAGATTTATAAACACGTGGACTCCACAGCCTCCTATACACCTCCATTTGGTTTTCATCTCTTATTGATTTCTTGATTTACTGTAATAACCGCGATACTATTGCATTCAGCACAGTCCATTATTTTAAGGGTTGCGGGCTGGTCAGAGAAGCAGAACACACTACTGTAAATAACTTCATCCACTTCACTGTGCATACTGACATGCCATCTTTCTTCTGATTGGTTTCCCAGACACTTAATTATAATGACAGTGCAGAGTAAGAACACGACTCTTTGAAATGATGTTTGCAATTGGACATAGTCTGCTATCCATTCATCCACTCACTACCCATCCATCATCAGACCACCAAAAGTAAACCTGTGCTTTATTTTGAACTTTTAGAAGTCATAGGCCTGCCTAAATGGCGACAGAGCAAAGTTCCCGCCATTACCTTTATTATCCTGGAAATCATCACCTTTTTTCCCCCGTTCTGATTTAGTAACACTTTGTTACTGGAATCTGACTTTCCCTGACTTTACGGCTAAGCTCCCCCAACTGCCATACCCCTGTCGAATGAGAGTACACTCTTTGGCCACTGATGCATTCTTATTGGACAGTGGGCCTGATTTTCCTCAACTTCATGGATAATATCCACTCACTGCAATCCCTTTGTCCAGTGAGAGTGCTCTTTTTGGTCACTGACTCTTAGTGGACACTGGGCCTGACTTTCCTGACCTCATGACTAGACTCCACCAGCTGCCATCCCCATATCCATTAATGATGCCTTTATTGGTCACTGAGGTAGTCTTATTGGACAATAGGCCTAGCTTTCCGTGATTTAATGACTATGATCTACTAAATGGCATTCCCATGTCCAACCATAACGCCATTATTGGTGGGGTAGCAGCAATCATTACAGGGGGGTAAGGTGGTGGTGAACGTTATTGAGTGTGCACGGTACCTCTGTCCAGCATCCCGCCCAGCACACTGACGTGACTGGTTGCCAGGGGATGGGTGGGATGCAAGCCAGAGCATCCTGCTCAGCTCCTGGCAACCAGTGATGTTAGTCAGCTGGGCAGGATGCCGGCCAGAGCATCCCAGGTTGCTAAGAACTCGTAGCAGACACTCCAGTTGGGGCATGGTCTGGAGGGGAAGAGGGAGATTTGGGGGAAATTTAGGTTCTGCCTAAAAGAATCGTTTTACAGTGCTGGCAGCCTGTATTGAGGACAAGAAAAAGCAAAGCACAAGGCTCTTCACAGCTCTGTGTATTTGCTTTTAAAAAATATAAAATTATTTCATCTATGACCCTTCCTGGAGCTGTAAATAGTACTGTATACGTTACCAAAATTTGTAGAGTGCTGTAACCTTCATCCACCAGTTTCAATTAATCTTTCACTAATCTTTTGTCAGTAAACTATAATCTGGTCAGTTGCTATAGCATACCTTCCTCCTGTCAGCATGCGGCAGCAGGGCACGTGAGCCTTAAAGTGATATTAAAGTCAAAAGGTTTTCACGTTATTTCAAATGCTAATGAAATCACTTACAATGGATGCTGCTTCTTCATTGATAAGTTAAGCTTTTGTTTCCTGCAAAGCCAGCTGGTCCCCTGAGCACTGGTCCTGATATCCTGTTTTACGATGTCACCTTTCCCTTGCAGACTCCTATGGAGCCACCTTTGTGTGTGTGTGTGCTAATAAGCTGTGTGTGTCTCTACAAACACACAGACACAGCAAGGCAAGACACTCCCCTGCTCCCCTTCTCCAAACTAGTAGATGGACAGCTGCAAGATACTGCTCTGTCCCTTGTGATCTTGTACCGGACAGGATGTTCAGGGAAGCTGAGATAAGAGAGTTGGAACTGTTTGGAAACATGATGGCTGTAAGCGTTTGAGCAAAAATATAAATAAATACTTTGCTTTGCAATCTATATTTGTTTGATCTGGATTCATTATTTAAACAGTTTTTAGCGTTTAATACTACTTTTATCGTCCTGCTGCCATATGTATGCATACACCAGTCAGATGTTGTATGCTGACAGCACTTTCAGTGTATGGTTCTAGCATCCGGACGGAGCTGTCACAGACAGCTCCCTGCCATCGTAAATGATAGGGAGGGCAAGCTTCCTGTCATGTGACTGATGTGACAGTCAATCACAATGTAGAGAGAGACTTGTTGCACTCCTTACCGGATACCCAAACGACAGGGGAGGGTGCTTGGAGTGACTGCGGATGGTAACGCTAGTTACATGGATCATTTGAAGAGATGTCACCAGCACACCAAAAATCAGGATAACCATGTGTTTATTTAATAAGACCCATGTCATCGACATGGGTCTTATTAAATAAACACATGGTTATCCTGATTTTTGGTGTGCTGGTGACATCTCTTCAAATGAGCCAATCACAATGGTCACATGATAAGGACTCTGCCTCTAGTTGTTAAGACCCAATTAAAGTGCCAGACAAGGGTTTAACTTGATAATCCTGTTAGCTGGTAGCCAAATAACGCTTGAAACCACCAATGGCTGTCTACTAAACATCAAGTGCTGTATAATAGGCAACAGACTGAGCCGAGTATAACTTTACAAGTAAATTAGGCGTTATTTTCTAATAGCGTGTACAACTGCCACTCTCAGTTAAGGCTCCTCCAATGAAACCGCTATACCGCTCCTAAATGTTATTTTCTGATCTGAAACCAACATGTTGTAAATGTATGTACTGAGCTCTGAAGTTTACATCAGCATCTGTGCCCAGGGCACATTTTGCTTCTGTCTGCTTGAAATAGATTTGTTTTGTTGAATACTTTCATTTCTTTTCTTCTTTTCATTTCTTTTTTAGCATTCGCTAGTGTTTACCGATTTGAAATCCATGTTTATTTACTGAGAGGAGAACAATCTTGCTCTGGAATTTTGCCTACGAGAACAGACTAATACAGTACACACATTTATTGGTGACAATAAAAGTCAAATCTAATCAAGGAAGTTGAAGAAAACACACGGAACACAAAACTGTATCTGCCGGGGAGTTGATGTTGCTAAGTGAGGTAAGCTAAAAATAGTTTGCAGAATAAAAAATGTAATAGCTCTGGGAGTTCTGTGTGCTATGAGTTCGACAGTGGTGTGACCTGGGGCTTGTAAGCCAGCAAGAAACTAAAAGTTCTGGCGTGTTCTGAGGAGTAAGATTGGCCAACTTCCAGGCAGAGCTTTGGCTATCATTGAACCGCAAGTCTCAGCATCTCTCTGCCTGGCAAACTTGGTGTCAGCATTGAAGACAGACCTAGCGAGACTGAGCAGAGGGGCTGCAGGACTAGGGGGAAGAATCGTCCCTGGAGAAGGGGTTCAAATAAAATGGGAATTCGCTGATCTTATCTGATTGGACATGGGGGGCAGGTGTCTGGGATGAGCCGCATGCATTGGGACTGCACGGGCTGATGGGCGTTCTTTCCGAAAAGTCAATGGAGAAAGCAGGTTGTCCCAACCGCCCTCTTTTAAATTTTGGTGGTTACAATGTCCTTTTTTATGTCATGGCAGCTTGGCAGGTTAGGTTTTTTTTGGGAGGTCTGAAACTCTGAGTCATTTACACAAATGGGGGGCCATCAGCTAGTATGGGTGTCCCCCCCTGTTGGTGTCAGTATTTGTCGGGGGGCCTGGCCCCTTGGAACTTGGGAGCTGTAACTGTCCTCGAGCTGGTTGGGGGTGTGGCTGGGGACATGGGATGAGTTTTAGAGGAGAGGCCTTATATGGGCTGTTGGGCACCCAAAGACCCCTTCTCAGATCAAACAGTCGTTAAGAGTATTTATTTGTATATTATTTTATTTTTTACTTTGGTTACTGGTAATGTTGGTTTGGTTAATAAAAGGGCTGCTGTGGTCATTGGGGTTTTTTAACAGAAGGACGTAATCGACGAATCCATCAGTCAAGGGCTGTTCTCTGAATATGGCATTTCGGAAGTGTTTTGGCTTCTGCCAAGTGGCATCTATATTCCAGGCAGGATATAATGCGGTAGGGCATAGTGGTCCAAATGCTATGGGCCTATCAATGGGGTTGCTATTCTGGTTTCCCTCGCCCATTGCAAGCTGCAGGCAAAATGCTTCCCCTAAACACAGATGCCAGATTTTTTCTGGATGGGGCATTTTGAAAATATTCTGACTTCTGCCAAGTGGCATCTATATGCCAGGCAGGATCTAGTGTTGGGGGGCATAGTGCTCCAAATGCTATGTGCCTATTAATTGGTTTGCTATTCTGGCTCAGGAGAAGACCCAAGCTGCAGGCAGAATGCTGCCCCTAAACATGGATGCCAGATGTATTCTGCAGTCAGTGCTTGTGTAAATAGACTTTAAACAAGAACTCCAGACAAAAATGTTCTTAACCCTTAGCTAGGTGATAACAGAGTTATACTCACCCGAACCACCAAGCCGGCTTCTCTATCACTGAAGCTTGTTTCTTCCTATGCAGCAGCATTGGAATGTTCTTTGGCATCCTCACATCTATACAATGTGTATAGTACGCTGCAGCGGAGCAAGAGAGAGGCTCCAGGCACCGGTCTAAGAGCAAGCTGGCTCAGAGAATGAGTAACTTTTTCAATCCCTGGATTGAAGCTGAACATGGCAGCAAAAGCTTTTTTTGTGTTATTTAATCTATCTGTGAGCCATTTTTTTTATCTTGTTATTTGTGGCTGAAGTATGCTATATTGATTAAGTGGCAAATATAAAATATTTATATGCAGTTTTTCATATTTACTTGATTAAAAAGAAACACTTTAGGTACTGAATATGTTAAATAAAATGTACTAAATAAAAATACTGCAAGTTCTGTTTTAGCTGATTTTCACTTATGTTGGACACTATAAAGATTACAAAGGAAACCAGCTTAACTGTTGTACTAATAGTACAGCTATGCTGGTGTAGCAGTGCATGCTTTAGTAGTGATGGCAGTGGAAGTGCCTATACAGAGATAAATACCAGCAGAGAAAATGTATTTTAGACTTTCTTTGATGTCCCAGGCTTTCAATGTCAGCAGATAGACACTGAGATAGACACTGAATATCGGATACTAAGTGGCCCAGGCTGGCAGATTGGCACATGTATATTATGCAGTCACTTTAATTAAATCCACAAAAAGTAGATGTTCCCTACCTCTGCAAAGTGACTATATTTGTAGCCACAATGTCACTACATTTTATCACCAACAATGTCAATGGCCACATCAACAGTGGATCAGGCCACTCACAGCCAAGTGTGGGGTGCATTACTTTGCTCTTGTTGGTAGTTTGGTAGCTTTGCTTATCATGTAAATTGTATCTTTTTATAGTAGTCTGGGTAATGAACCCAAATGGCTCAACCAAGGCATTTTTTGGCTGTCTTCAGATTTGAAGAACTGTGAAACCTTTTCATGTCTCAAATAGCATGTTGACTTTTGCAGAGCCGATTTGCAGAACCATTTATCCTGTGAATCTCTGTAAATATTTGTGCTCTACAAATAGATACAAAAATGAACGTTCTTAGTAGGGATGCACCGTTACAAGCATCGGTATCGGCGGCGATACCGAGTATTTGCATGAGTACTCGTGCAAATACTCTGATACATAAAACGAGTACCTGTGCCGCGTCCGCCATCTTCAGGGACCCCAATCCGCCGCACACAGGACCTCCATCCCGCCTTCAATGAAGCAAGATGGCCGCGACCTCCTCTGTCATCTGCTCCATTCTGACCTCTTCTCCCGCTGATTGGACGATTGGATGATTGACAGGCTTCCTCACCAGTCAGGAGTGACTGGTGAGGAAGTCTGAAAATCACCAGCACTCAGTAATCAAAGGCAAGTATGTCCTTTTTATTGGACAAAAGCGTCATAAAAATAAAAAAAACGACGTTTCGGGGCCACAAATTTTGTCCAATAAAAGGACATACTTGCCTTTGATTACTGAGTGCTGGTGATTTCTGCCTTTTCCTGTGTCTGCACGGCGCCATCCGTGAACCAATGTCACTGCAAGCACCATCATCCCTTAATTGACCGGGACTGGTGTGAGGTGTGCGGAGGGCTCTCCCCAACGATCTACATGGTGAGGAAGTCTGTCATCATCCAATCGGCCAATCAGTGGGAGAAGAGGTCAGAATGGAGCAGATGTGAGAAAGCCGAAGCCATGCACACAGTCAGACCATCATCCGTTCATCGTGCAGAGCCATCAGCGACCAGCCCCCTCCCCTGTGCCTGGCCCTGGGCACCTGTCTGCTCTCGGGATGTGCCCGGGCTACTGAGGATTACTATGGGTTGTATCGAGTGGAAGGGCTGGAGCAAACCCAGCGACTCTCCGGCTGCACTGGAGACTCACTTCAATTCATACTCACACTTAAGTGAGGGAGAATAGGAGGCCAGGTTTGCTGCAGTCTTGCTATCTTTAAATGCTTCACAGTCACTAAATACAATGCATATGCACCTTTCCACTGTCTTTGTTTCCTGGGTTCTTGCTTTCTCAATCATGCACTACTGCTGTTCTGCTATTGTTTGTCCATTCTTGCTGCTGTTTCTGTTCCTCTTTTCTGTCCACTTTTTGTACATTACCAGGCGTAGCTGAGCAGTTTGCTACAGCAGAAGCTAAACTCCGTGCCTGGTCATCAATTGATGGAGAAGATTCCACAGATGATTCATATGATGAGGATCTGCAGCCCTCTATGGACCATTCTCAACCTGCAGATTTTCTAAGTCCTGTGCAGAAGGATCTGGTGTCATCCCGTGTATGCTGCTGTGACAGTGACTCCTCACGTACCCTGTCTCCTGAAACCCTGTGCTCCAGCAATGGCATGATAAATATTTATTTCATTATTCAATGTCTTTTTTTTAGTATCGGTAATTGGTATTGACGAGTACTTGAAAAAAAGTATCGGTACTCGGCCTTAAAAAAATGGTATCGGTGCATCCCTAGTTCTTAGTATATTTTCTTTTTAGGTTGAATGTAATGTAGTGTAATACTACACTACTAATGTAGTGTAATGTAGTGTAGTGTAGACACTACACTACTAATGTAGTGTAATACCGCATTATGGCCAGTAGGTGGAGCTGAGGAGCATTGGAAATAAATACTCATTTCCTATGCACCTTATCTCCATCAAGTGGCCATAAAGGAAAATATACTAAAATACATTTGACCTGAAAAGAAATCATATTAAAATATATTTAACCTGAAAATAAATTATATGAAAATATATTTGATCTGAAAAGAAAATATACTAAGAACAGTCATTTTTGCCTCTTTTCGCACACAACAGATGTTCACAGAGAATCGCAGAGTGAGTGGCTATGGGAATTGTTTAAAAATAGACCGCTAGGTCTCTAAGGAAATAGTCCTCTGATAACCGGAGCCACAACATTGAACAAAATTCAGAAGCAGTATGTCTGCCAAATGGGTGCTTACTAAGTCTTGGGAAAACCCTGTGTCCCTCCACAATACGAACCAAAGACATCAAAGACTTGGTGAATTTATTAAATAGATCAGAAAACCTACCACTGTAATGGAATGCCACTAGCACCAAATATAATGTAATGCCATAAAATAATAATATTATAAAAATATGATATAAAAACAAATATCCCGCACAAGTTCCATTTTAAACCTCTCTATAGGGTACTAGTGAGTAATATCGCACACACAATAATCCCACACACAATCCCCTCGCCTTCATACTCCCCAGTATATACCCTTAACAAAGAGGACCTGCATGCTCTTGAAACGTCCATCAGTGAATGCTGTTTGCCATTATTTATTATATCTTACATGGATTGTTGGCCTTTATTCATTCTAAAAACAGACACACACAATTAAAAAGAATAAAATGTAACATTTTTACTGAACTTTAGTTACAGATGATGTGTAACAGTAATAGTCATCTCAGCTTCATTCCAATCCTGTCCTCAGCAGGATCTTGTGGCCTACAGGCCATCTTGCACTGCAGGCCAACGAGTTGAGTGATCCAATAATGAGCACCCAAAGAATAGAGTTGAGCTCCTTATATTCTACACAAACCAAGACTCATCATCTTCTTAG